ATAGAATTTACACACAGATATTTTTTGCAGTGCATGTCGATATATGTGTGTGTATTGCTTGAAGAATGCTATAAGTATTATTTTTAAGGCTCTTTCGGCGGCCCACTAGCGCCGCCATCGGAAAAGCAGTCACACCTCTTTTAAAGAGGTGTGACTGCTTTTACGATGGTGTTGTCGAACCTACCGAAATTTCGATATTTCTACCGAAATGGCAACGAACCTACCAAAATACCAAATACTACGATTTTCGTCAATAATTATGTTTCTTCCGATTTTTTTTACCGATTTTTGGCAATAATAACGATTTTACTTACCCATTTTGCCGATTTATCAATCGTACCCGAAGCTGCTTAAGTTATGTTAAAGGAGAATTTATTATATTTATGTTTATTTGTTACTGACTTATTTTGTAATACTTAGAGACTAATAAAACACCGATTTTGTCCATATACATTGTTATAAAAATAAGATTTGTTAACATGAGTTTGTATTTAGTTAATTTTATTTTGTAAAATTTTTACAAAATTTTTTATATACAACCTGGGTTTGAAATTATTATAACAAAGGAAAATACTTTACCGAAAGTTTTGTAAAGGTAAAATGCAATTTTGTAAGCATTTTGTTAATTTAAAAGGTTACAAATTATTTTGTTAATGTTTACAAATTATACCGTTGAAAAAGTACACGTAATTTCAGGCAGCCAATCAAAACATTTCCAAGCACAACACACTTATCAACAAGTTGTGTCAGCGTGAACGGGTGTTTATAATATTTAACGGTGACAGGAGTGTTCATAATGTCATTATTGGTTTTCAAATTAAAATTAGGCGATAAAGTGATATTAAAGTAAATCAGTAAGTGTTTTAGTAGTACTGATAGTTATATTGTACCAAATTTCTACATAATCTGATGATTTCAGAATGGTGTGTTATTTAATTTTGTATATGTTATTTTTTTGTTAATTTATGTAGGTATGTGTTAATTATGTTTTATTTGTTAGAAAATTGTTTAATAAAGCAACATTTCTTATAACAAATTCTCTTTTTTAAAGTTCAAAATACAAGAATTATGGTTGAATTTGACATGGAATTTTGTTATTAAATCTACAAAATATCTAGATTACAGTTGGTTGTAAACTTAACAAAAAAATATGAGGATCTGGATTAACATAAAATCTGGTTATGGTTAAAATTAACAAATATTTTTTTACTTTGTAAAGAGTTTAATTTTTGTACTTGTAACACCCGAAACAAAGTATAATTATATAAAAAAATAGTAAAACGTTATTTGTGACAGTGATTATATGGTAGATGGTTTGTAAATATTATACTTTTGGAGGCCTGTAATTTTTAGGAATGTTTCCCTAAGAACATATATGTATATATCTATAGAGGCAAAATCGTGAAACACCCGAAACACGCACAATTTTCGTCTTATTGAATCGTTATCCTATATGCTAAACTGTACTAATTTTACAATTTAGCTAGAACAACTAAAATCGTAGAGAATAAGGCACTTTAATTGCTAAAATATTATTTCAAAATACATAAAATTTATACTTTGGTTGAACAAACACCCAAAACGATGGAATTACCCTTAACCTACTTTTTAAAAGTAATATTACTAACTAGTTAAATATTTGGTTTATATTTAGTCAATTTAAACTCTTGAAATAACCTTAATTTACCCATAGGTAAATTTAGGTTATTTTAAAAGTTTAATTGGTTAAAAAACGAGTTAAAAAAACGTTATTTTACTTAAATTTTGGTTAGTTTACTTAGAATGCTAGTTATTTAACCAGGATGCTTGGTGTACTCTATATAAATTAATATAAGTTTAATATAAAAACTTAATTATCACCTAATTATGGCAACCCAGCCAAATTGTTGTGACCAAAATTGAATCCTAAAGAGTGAGCACTACTGTATCGCTATAAAGCCCCCCCTGCCCCCCAACTAATAAAGCTACCCACCCGCCCACGCTCCGCCAGAGAGACACAGTCTGTTTAGTGCGAGCGGGGCCAGGGGGGTGCCGGGGGGGAGCGTCGCGGGAGAAGGAGCGAAAAGTCGGCTTGCTTTGGGGGAAGAGCGAGGGGGAGATTGGAGGATGCCTGGGAGGCCAAAAGTTGGCCGGAGCGTAACCAAAAACGTAACACACGATATCGCAGTGGCCCTGATGACTTGCCGACGTGTGCAGCGTGGTCTAAAGTGAAGAAATTGGTGGATAGGGTTTTTGGGTGAAATTGTACTAAAATGGTCTAAAATTTAAAATTACATTATTGTAGATAGGATATTTTTAAACTTACAATAATTTTAAATGCTTTAAGTATCTTGTTTAAAATCTATAATATTTTAATTTAAAAAAAAAATATTTGTATGATTTTACAAATTTTGATATTTTAATATTTTTTAGTATTCTTTTGTTTTCTTGCTCTAAAAATTCAATATATTTTATTATTTAGTAATCACTAAAATTTTTTTTTACCCGAAATCGGCTGTAAAGTAGTCAACGTTCGGCAGTAAAGTAAAAGAAATCGGCAGTAAAGTAGAACTGCCGATTTAATACGAGTATTATGAGTATTGTATGAAACCCATTATAGATTTTAAGACGTGCCTACTGCTCCTCAGCAGCAACTAAATAATATTTAAAAAAAGCACCGTCGCGGAGGTCGATTGGTCCCTTTCATAAAATGTTGTTTAATAAAAATCGCCGCGGCGGGAAAATATATAATAACCGTCGCAACAAACAGTATACATAGACACTTCCTACATTCAAATGACATTTGATTTGATCATCAAATGACATTTGATTTAATCATCAATATTAATTATTAGTATTATTAAATGTGATTTCGGATAAAATTTAATATGTACCTCGGCATTAAAGTCATTTTTTATCACTCACGTTGTAATCGCATTCCTGATAAAAAATACGACTTTACTGCCTTGATACATAAATAACTATTATTTGAATTTAAATTTCATTTTTCATATTTTGTTTATTAAGTAATTTTTTAATATTTTTTTCTTTTTTATTTTTTTAAATAGCCTAAAATTATCGTATATCGTATATTAAACATAAAATTTTTTTTTGAAATTTTTTATTTGAATTTAAATTTTATTTTTTGATGGTTTGTCTATTAAATAATTTTTTAATATTTTTTCTTTCCAATTTTTATCTTTGTATTTTTTTAAATACTCGTAGCTTATTATTACATATATTTTTTTAAGCTTAAAAATATTTTTAATATAGGTAATTTTTTTTGTTTTTAAAATTATTTTAAAATCCCATATGGAATTTGTAATTTTTTTTGAGCCCGCATTGTGCCCGTACGACATGCGTTTTAATTGCGGGTACTATACAGGTAAAATGAACTTCCAAATGTTATCTGAGATGCTAAACCATGCTTTTTTATCACATTTGTTTTTTCTTTTTCATAACATTCCTTGTATGCATATAAATTTTTAAATTTACATTTTTAATTTTTTGATTTTTTATTTTTGGACGTTTTTTATTGATTTTTTTTATTTTAATTTTGCAAGACATAAACTTGTTTTATCCATCCACCTTTTTCTTACTTTATCTCAAGGTGCGTCTTTACTTTGCGACGCGGCATTAAAGGTAACACGGTTGGCCGTGAAGGCGTCTTATTGGTTAGGGGTGGGGCGACCGACGACCTCATTGGCGGGCCGCAGGATTGCGTCTACCTTAACGCCGCGACGGCGGGCGGCTGTGGCCCCCCTTCTGGCCCCCTCACTTGCCTCTTATTGTCCTTGTTCTCGTACTACTAATTTTACAAGATATGTAGTTGGGCTTGTGTCTAAACTTTGTATTTTAACGTAACGAGGTTTTTATTTTTTTATTTCAATTAATTTTTTTTTAAATTTTTATGACTAAGTAAAACATAACATATCTCCTAATGGTTTTTATTGAATGTACTCTCTAAAAATGAATTAGTCAAAAATTACTAATTGTCAGCGAAAACGCTTACTTATTATTTTAGTAGAACAGTTTTTGGGATATAGTAAATTTTCATATATAATACCACAAGAGCTTCAAAATTATCGGGTATTTTTCCCGATAGGTTCGTTGCAAACAAATGAAGGAGTCAAGTTTTTCAGGTTAAAAAATCACGAGCGCGAAGCGCGAGTGATTTTTCCTGAAAAACTTGACGACTTTATTTGTTTGCAGGGAACCTTGAGGGAACTGCCAGATAATTTTGAAGCTCGTGTGGTATTCGGGGGATTATTTTTTTTGACAGTTATTATTGTAACTTCCTTATAGTCTTCTCCATCCATTTTCTTCATATTGTAAGCGTAATCTTTCATAATGTTTGCCAATTGCGCTTCACTCGTTTCAGCACTCAATGTGTATTCCCTCTCAGTACAAAAAGTAGTAAATTGGTTCCAAACTGTTTTTTTTGACTTCTCCGTATTAATGGGAACATTTCCTTTGACTTTTTTATCGATGGTGGACAGAGAACAAACTCCAAATCGACTCATTTTCATGCAAAATCTCCAATTTTCACAATTGAATTCAACCTGTCAGTTTGACGTGTAATTAATTTGACTTTTTTATATATAGCAACTACCAGAGAAAATTTTCAAAAAATTATCGCTGTAATTCGCTGTAGGTTCCCTCAACAACAATGCCTCAACAATGTCCCAACAATACAGAGAACTGTCAAAAAAAATAATCCATATAATTGACTATATGTCAAAAACTGCTTTACTTCCATAATTTTTGACGGTCTTTTCGGATTCAGGGTACAATTTTACATAAGAATTGGCTGTTAAATGTCGGGGATACAAATTGCTGTGGACTACAGTTATTAGGGACTGCTTTTTCACTAAAAAAAACTAGTCATTTTTGACTAATTTATTTTTAGAGAGTGGTAGCCAATTAATTATACAATAAAAAATTTAAATTTGAGAAATTGTTTTTTAATTTATATCTAAAACTGTATACAATTTTTAAACCTATTTATTCTTTGTTTTCAGGCATTGCCCATCATCTAGCTGGTCTGCCTGGGCCTCCGCCGGAGTGGGCCATGTTGGGCGGGAGGCCCACTTATCCACACGGGCCTTTTGTACCACATCATCACCCCCATTTTCCTCATCATATGTTTGCCGCTCTAGACCGTCCAGTAAATACCTCGCCGAGAATAGCAAACGGTGAGAAAAACTTTTATTGGGTTTCTTATATCATTTTAACATATTTTCTTTCCAGAACCGTCTTCAACCTCTTTGGGCCCGATCTCCATCAACTGCAGCAGCGCGCACTCTACCACCTCCCCCAAGCACTCCCCCGCACAGGTGGGGCTCCTCACCACCGCCGCGGGCGGCCCCCCGTCCCCCCAGGAAGACGACATCTCAGTAACAGCGTCCCCTCTGCCCTCACCGAAAAGCCAACCGGCATTCCCAGGGGTGCCAAACCAGCAAAACCAACTTTTCAACAACGCGTTGGCAGCCAGTTTGTTTTTGAATACTCCCCTATTGCCAACTCCAAATCAGTGGTTCTATTCTCAACTGTATCCGCACGATTGGTCCTGGATGCACTTTAGGAATCAGGGACTCATGCCGAAAATCAGGGATGAAGTCCAAAATCCAGATTCCAGCAGTGAGAAATTGGATATAATGGATTTGGAGGAAGACAGCCAAAAAACCATCAACATTAAAGACGATGATGATTCTAAAAGTCCAAAACTCGAAACCACAACAACGGAGAACAACAATATAGACATCGAAAAACTGGAAAATAACAACAAGACTAAACCTGAAGGAATTAACTTGAGTCTAAAGCTGCGCAAAGCCGCTATAACTTTAATAAAACAAAAAGACGAAGTTTCTTCTACAAATAAAGATTCACTTAAAATGTCCAGAAGCAACACTAATCGAAACTCAGATGTTTGGAGGCCGTACTAATTTTTAATATTGTATATTTTTTTATTCTATTTATTATAATGTGTAAATACGATCCAATCGGATTTTCTCGTGAAAATTGTATATAATATATGTAAATTGTTATAAAATGTGTTTTATTTATTTATTGTTTCTCATTAAGTAGAAGTAATTCTGTATATAATAAATAAATTGTTGTATAAATACATTAAAGTGAGTTTTATTCCGACAAGAATATTTCAAAAAGGACAACTTTGGTGATATGATGAACAAATATTATAAATATTCCCCAACACCAAAACAAAACACAAAATGCTTAAAGTAAGTACCTTTCGCCAATGATGTTGGCATCTTCATAAGAGAAGTGTAACTGTCAACTTTGCTTCTGAAGATGCCAACACCGTTGAAGAAAAGTAATTTAAGCACTTTGTGTTTTGTTTTGGTGTTGGGGAATATTTCTAATATTTGTTAAAAAATAAAGAAAATCATTTTAATCACACAATAAGAATCTTGGCTTGCATGAGGTTTAGAAATCTTTTCCATTTTCTTCAACTGTTTACTACTACCCATACTTCCAATTACTTTGTGTATAGGCGCCATAATAAAGTAAATAACAATCAATTTGACAAAACTGGCCCCCGTTTACCATAAAACTAACGTCCGAATGTCCAAACAGCGCTCCCCCAACTTCTGAAGTCGTAAATTGTAAAACTCGAGAGAGACTTCAGGTCCACCATAAATTGGCCGGCCAATCGAGATAACTGTAGCAATTTTCTCGGGACACAGAAAAGACCAAGAAACAACCCATAAATGCTGATAATCTCGCAGCCCATCAATAACTGCGAACGATTTTATCAGGGGAATTTCCCATTTTCCGGAACGTTGTCCTTTGCACGCTCCAAGACGCCCACTGCAAGATCTGCGATGTCCACTGCGAGCCACTGTGGGAAAAACGAACAAAAAAACGTTAGTTAACGAACAAATTTGTCCAGGGCGCTTCGCTCTATAGGATAGTATGAAACATAGATGACTTTTTGACCCAGGAAAGATTAGATTGGATACCTGTATTTTGGGACAATATCGCAAGCATTGACCTCTTAGCAAAGTATTTTGTGATTATTTCAATATATTGAGTGCACTGATAAAAATGGGATCCTTGTGGCAAAAGAATCCATTTGGATTGGCAAATATTGATTCAGTTCAAAGAAACTGTATTTATTTTAAATCCGTTTCCCTTCGGATAAGATAATTGCTGCATTTAGATGTAATTCTCGATTCTTTTGACATTTAATTACTTTAAGGCAAAGTAAATGCATTTGGGCAAAAGAAATCTTCAAATAATGTATTGTTGTCAAAATTTATTGTTATTTCTAGAAATTCCACTGTTTTGTGCCAAACTACACTGATAAACATGGATTATTTTAGGCAAAAGAATCCATTCATTTGATAATTATTCTTTTAGTTTAAAGAAAGTTAACTTGTTGCAAATTCTTTGGCATTCGGCTAAAATAGCTGATGCATTCGAGGCAAACTCTCGATTTTTTTGGCTGTCGGAAATCACTTGGTATTTCGATAGATCTTGTAACAATGAGGGGCCTTCAGTTTCAGTCCACGCGACGCGTTTACAGTACTTCGTGTTCATAAAAGGTGTTCATCTTGTGCGGATAAATAACTAGTGTTATTTTTTTTATATGGTTATAAATCAAGATTCTTTGCACCATAAAAGGACTGCTTAAACTTTGGGGCATTATTAATTTATTTCCAAAATTAGGTAAGTTGGTGCTTTTCCAACGTTTAATTAATCTAAATATAATAAAGATAAATACTTAATTAATAAACTAAAATCGACTAAAATATAATTATTTCATGTAAATATGAACATTCTGTAAATTGCTTTCTTAGAACAGCTAAATAAAAATAGTTACCTATACCTTCTCCCAACGATTAATTTTTTTAAAGAAAATAATGGGGATTTGTCAACATGTTTTAAGACTTTAACACAATAGCATCATAATATTCAATAAGCCAAAACCTACATATCAGCAAGTCATGTCCTCCATAGATAAAACAGACATATATATGTAGGTTTTGGCTGAAATGCACGGGGATTTATTCAATATTTGGATGGTTTTGTATTAAAGTCTTAAAACATATTGACAAATACTTACCATATTATTTTCTAAAAAAATTATTCTTTGGAAGGAGAATATATCCTTCTTATTTCTTGACAGATATCCAGAGGCGGATTTCTAAATAGGCTTTCGAAGGCGGAAATTTCTCTGAGTGTAAGAATAATTGGTTTTTTGTATTGTATTGTTTATGTTTTTAATTATTGTAAAACTTTTTAATTTACGCGTGTAATTTTTCCCATATTTTGATAAAAATAACAAAATTCTTTTAATCAAACGCTAATGGATTTGAAATAAAAAACTCGGATTTTGAGCCAAAAAATTAAATCAATTAACTTGAATGCCAATAAATTTAAATCCAGACAAATTCCTAATTTTTTAAGATCATGAATCTAAGATTTTGTTGTGAACCCGCTTTTCTTTATTTCAAATTTTCAAAGGTTTCCTTTTTTTCTAAACTGTTTTTAAAGAAAAAGGAGAAGTTTATCCAGTGAAAAGATGTGGTATATGCTCTTATAATGAGTGGCCATATTTTTTGAATTAGAAAGAACTGCAGCCAGGGCCTTTTAGACAATATTTTATTAGGGCTAAGCAAGTGGAAAGCAAAAATCAGCAGTCATGTTGGCAAATTTTTTATCGAGGTCAAAATGTCATAAATGTAAATATGCTAGAAGCACCCCCAGGCCAAAATGAAGCACTTTTTCCATGTTTTCTCCACAGTGCTCGCACTCGAAACGACACGGTCAGTTTAATATCGAACAGAGTCAGCCTCTTTTCTTCCGATCGATTCCGATTCCGATCAAACGGATACTCGAGTTGCGTTTGTTTCTTGATACGCCTTCTTGATCAGAAAACTTCGATGCTCGCCCCCCCTGATTACATGCTTTATGGATGTATAAAATCCGGCATTATTTTGTCGTTTATCAAATTTATGGCTGTATTTACTTTGAGAAATTAATAATTTATCGGGCGGATGGGATTTATGTTTTTTATTAATATGTATTTTAAGAGTGAAGAAGAAATAATTATAGGCATAAAAATCATTTAATTACACTGAGAAAAAGAAAGTATTGATTCAAACGAAAACTGCTTAAATTTATAAATTATAACATGTTTATAATACATATTAAATACAAACGATAGTCCCAGCATGTTAAAGAAAGAGTTTTAGATTTGTTAAGTTTAGCATGTTGAATTAAGCATTTTACAATATTGAATTACTAATATAAAACTCCATTAAAAGAAACAATTTTAATTCTTAAATCAATATTCAGTTTTATACAGTTTAAAAAAAATTAAACTTTAAAGCAACAGAAATGTTTATTTAAAATAACATATTAAATTTGTCAACGTAACATTTTCTAAATCTTATTTTAAAATATTTATTTACTTGTTTTAATGATTCTACAATATTTATCTAATACTTTGGCAATGTCAAATTAAAATGAAGAAACTCTTCAAGTAAATTTTACAATTATTATTCTAGATTTTTGAGACCTACTATCATAATAAAATTGTTTTTTATTATAATTATAATTACAATAAAAAACAATTTTACAACAAATAATTATCAAAAGCCACAAAAAATCTACTATAAATATTGTAAAATTTACAATTATTACAATAATTTTTTCTGTAGCCTATATATATACTATAGTAAAAAATATACTTTAGAAGATAGTTGGGGTTTTATAAATAACCAGAAAAATCAGTGGACCCACATTCCATCTTCAAGTGTTGTTAAAAACATGGGTTTATTTAATATTTTTTGCTTCTAGTTTTAGCGCCTTTGGTCGGGTACACCATTCGTCAAACCATCCTGGTAGTTGCTTTGCATTAAATATTTCGGAAATTGTAAATAAGTACTTATAATTAAAGTTTAATTAACATTTAAGGTAGAGCTCAGTTTGTGTTTACATAAACAATCATATCATAAATAATTATAAAGATAGACTTGAGCTGATTTAACCTAATGATTAGTCAGAAAATATGTACTTTTAATGTCATATACATGATCTTACTAAATTAACGATTACTGCCTCAAAATATTAATTTAAAATATTATTGTACGTTTATAACAATTTGGACCATGGTTGTTTTTGTGAGAAGCGCCTAATTTCTATTTATAATAATGCTTAAGTACCTACTTAAATGTATACCTATACGGTGGTCTAGTGGTCTAGTGCATGCTGACTACAAGCCGGAGGTCGTGGGTTCGAATCCCACCAGGGGTATGGTTGTTTATTTGTGTTTGTCCTATTGTGTATTAGTCCTTCGGAGGGGACTTTAAGCCCGCGGTCCGTTCCTACCCCTAACCCGCACAAGCCATTCAGTTGGCTTATGGGACTTCTTAAGAAGTAAGGGTGGAACTAAAAGAGCACTTTTGTATATAAACTTTTTTTTTGTATACCACATATAACATGGGTTTGTACAAATCAGGGGCGTAGCTACCGAGGTATCAGCTGTATTAATGATACGGGGCCCCAGGCTAGGGGGGGGGGCAATTTTCTTCAAGCAAAAAACATATTACCCACATGTTAAAAAAATTGAGACATGAAATTAAATAAATAATATTATTATTTAATTGTTTATACTTCAATTAATTAAATTAAAATTTTCCTGAATACCCTCCTGTTCCAACGAGGCCGCGAACTCATACGAATTGTTTCTGCCCGCACCTTTCCGCTATGCGTTGTCTGCGGCGCAGTCTGCGCATATTGTTCTGTGCTCTGCGCCGCATACTGAGCCTGCTTTGCGTATTATTCGCATAGGGTAATAGCAAATTGGAAATTATTATTATTAGCGTTACAATTATTTCAAATGACTTGCCTTTATTTTAAAATAGAAACCTTTTAAAAGATGTTGAAGAACGGTGAATGTCTAAAACCGGACCAA